GACCTTCCAAAAGAGTACACGACTAGAAATCAGTGGTTAAATTGTATTTACAACACATGTTATGGAGGACTGTTTCCTGATCCTGGTAGAGTAGAATAATGCCTCGTTTATAATGGGTTTTATTGGTTTTGTCTCGTCCCTCCGGCCGGATGCGGCATCACAGTATGGTAAGGGGCGTAACATTTCCGTCACACGCTTGAGGTATTCGGCCAATCACAACGCACTGGATAGCTGGCCAATCAGAGCACACCTCGCTTTTCAGACCGATGAGCTTTGTAAAAATCTACGCGTTTCAGAAAGGCGGGGCATAGAGGAGAAACAATAATGTACAGTATGTGGAAAATAATGTGTTTTTTGAACCTTAAACCGCATAAACACATTTCATTACACCAAATACACAACATAATGTTCTTTTTAGCAACATCATATGACCCCTTTAAGAACATGCCTGGGTAACATTTCACATACTGTATGAAACACTATACTGCATAAAGCAAATTAATCCTGCTTTCAGGACTATTAAAATATTTTGCTTTGTGATATTATTTTCATGACAATTACTGCAATATAAACATTTTATTAAAAATAAATTAAATAATCTCATTCTCATTACCTTAATGCAAAATAAATATAATTTCATTACTATGAATGAATGAACAAATGATCAATCTAATTATCTTTATGCAAAAACTAAAATCATCTAACTTGCAAAATCATAATGCAGAATACATACATTTCATTCTCATTAGAAGCAAACAGACACAAACAATAAATAAATAAATAAATAATGCAAAAAATTTAACTTATTTTCATGACCATAATGATTGATGGATGGATGGATGGATGGATGGATGGATGGATGGATGGATGGATGGATGGATGGATGGATGGATGGATGGATGGATGGATGGATGGATGGATGGATGGATGGATGGATGGATGGATGGATGGATGGATGGATGGATGGATGGATGGATGGATGGATGGATGGATGGATGGATGGATGGATGGATGGATGGATGGATGGACTAAAATCATCAAAATCATAATGCAGAATAAATACATTTCATTCTCATTAGAAGCAAACAGACACAAACAATAAATAAATAAATAAATAATGCAAAAAATTTAACTTATTTTCATGACCATAATGATAGATAGATAGATAGATAGATAGATAGATAGATAGATAGATAGATAGATAGATAGATAGATAGATAGATAGATAGATAGATTCACTCCAATTAC